AACAATAAGGAATGGAGAAGAGATCTTTAGTAGAGAAGAAATTTTTTATGCTGATGTGCATTTAAAAACTAATCTTAACGACCAAGTATGCGTTTAAGTTGATTTTTTAAATTTAAGCTTCGTTTGCCAGTATAAGGAAGACACGAGTATATAGTAAATTTAGGTACAGTTGGTTTCTTAATTGGATTTGTGAGTTTCTTTGTTAGGAAAGTGTTGGTAATGTTTTCTAATAAGTGTTGTGGATAGCAGTTACGTTTCAGGATGTCATATAAGAAAGGAATTTCAGAGTGTAGATTAAGATATGTGGAGCACAGGTTGTAAGCTCTGTTTAGTAAGCATGTAACAAGGTTTCGTTTATACGTAAACGGGATAATGTTATGACATTTAAGCTATTTAGAGTAAACATTTGTATTTTTGTGTTATAATTTGTAGTCATATTTATTTCATAATTTTTTAAGGTGGTTACGAGATCGGCCAAATCTACCAAACTTGTATAGAGATTTGATAGTGAAAATAACAGATAAAATATAAAGTTTTTTTTAAAAAACGTTTGATAATTATCTGGAGGTTATAAAGTTTTGCATGTGAAATTAGAAAAGTTTCTGATGCATAAAAGTATTTTTAATCTTAAAATGAAAATTACTTTGCATGTTGGATAGGCAACATGTGAAAAGAAAAAAGGCATGAAAAAAATATTATTTAAAAAACCCTTAAGATTTAATAAAAACAAATCTGATAGTTTGTGTATGAAAGCCTTGTAATATTTACTGGTAATCTGCCAAATTTTGGGAACATATGCTAACTAATTTAAAAGTTATAGCATGAAAACTATAACAAGCACAAAATGGTTATGAGGTAGGTCCCAGGGACTGAACCCATGTTGAAAAAGTTAAACTTAGTGATGACAAAACCTTCTCTAAACATTGTACATTTGTTACTTTATTAAACTTTTAAGAAAGTTTTCTTTGTTACCAATTCAAGCTGTCTATAAAGTGTATAAAATTACCTACCATATCTCAAGTTATCTTATGTCTTCTCATTCAAAATAATTTCTGTAACTTTCAAACAGATATAATTTAAAACACAAATACTTTCACAGTTCACAAGGAATGAAATGTTTACAGTATTTACATAAAACTCTTAAATCTGTATATTTACTCTGTTGATATGTGATAGTCTGTTTCGTGCTTTATCCAGTCATATTTCCAGTGCTTTTTAATATTTTCAGCAATTTCTGTTTGGGTCCCATCTATTTGGTGTTCTAGGAATAGTAATATTAACATTTAAAGTAGCATTATACCCACAAAAAAATCATTTTGAGAGCTGTAGAAATTTAATGTTTGAGTTTATTAAATGTGAACTAACTTAAATGTTTTTCTTTTTTTTCCCTTGTAGGTTTTAGTAAAAAAACAGTGGAGTTACTTCAGAAGTACAATACTCAGTTTAGCTCTTTCAACATTCTAGCTGATCAAGAAGTCAGAGAAGGTGAAGATACTTATATCTTTGTTATCTTTTGAAGTTTAATTGTGATTGTGCATGCCAGTATTTTGAAAAAGTGAACATCTTATGCATTATGTAATATTTGCTAGTTATTTAGTGTATTGTAATAAAGGGTTACACTAATTTTGCTCATTAATAAACACAACCTGCTATATAATTAAGTTTCGTTAATCTTGAATTTGCTTACCTGATGACTCCAAGTTAACGTTGATAAAACAGTTTAGAAATAAATATAGACCTTTATGTTCATTTAGAAGAGACTCAAGTGATAATGTCTCGAATAATAAAGCTTTATTACTTCCTTTTGATTTTTCTTTTTACATTTTCTAGAATATTTTTGTATCTGTGTTTTGGGTATACTTAACAAAGAGGAAAAGGTATGTTTTGTGTTTAAAGTAGATTTCTAGCGAGTTTTTTTTTGCTCCTCAGTTATGTATTTACTTTGATCGGACTTGACAGATTATTTTAAGTGAATGAATTGTTTTGATTATAAAAGAAAAAATTAAAAGAGGAATTGTTCTATTATATCTTTTCAAGGTTTGAAAAAGTTCTCCAATTGGCCTACCTATCCTCAGTTATACATTAATGGTGAATTGGTTGGAGGTCTTGATATTTTGAAAGAACTAGATGAAACTGGGGAGCTAGAACCTATGTTACCTAAAAAGGAAGATCTAAATAAACGGTATTGTTTACTTTTTCTTCATCCAGCAACACTATTACCTAAACCAGCATAAAACCTGTGTATCAGGAACTCTGTCAAATTGTATTAATAGATAAAATTTTTTTTAAGAAGTAAAAAACTTGTTCACTACGAAAATATTCTTTAACCTTCTTTGTTTACAGAAATATAAACCAGAAAGCCAAAACCACTTGCCATGCCCTACTATCACATTCTTTTTTCAAATTACCAATAAATCTCTTTGATGTTTATTATTACATCCTTTATAACCAATAGAAAACCAAGCTCAATTTACTGAATGACATAATGCTACCTCGTTCTCAGCTTTCATAGATTTTTGCTGCCCTCAAAATGCACACTTTTTGCTCACCACTACCTTGAGGCTTCCACCTAACATCACGTGGTATAGCTGCATTGTAGCATGCAACAACTCTACCAATAGGAGTGTGACACACTCTTCTAGCACAGCTGACTTCCTCTATACTGAAAGCACAATCATCACTTCTTGATATTGGTGTTGGGTTTTTCTCTGGTGGGAGAGGTGATGGCTTTTTTGCAGGGTTGGTGGAGTCTTTCGTGTAGCATGAACCTTCTTTTGTCCCTGACATACTTTTACCAATGTTTTTCATTCATAACGGAAGAGATTTTGCTGGTTTTATCCACTTACCTTTGCCTGATCTTATATATCCTATTGTCTTGATTCTTCCTCAGGTTTTTTTCATGATTAGGTTTCTCAGTTATGTTTCTTACATATTCAATTATTTTTACCACTACTTTGAGGCATATGTGCCTCATCCTCCTTCCTTTGTTACGTCTTATGACTAGGCATGACTTCATGCTGTATTGCTTTTCTTTGACTCCCAAACTCTGGAGCCTTTTCTTCAGATTTGGGGGTGGGGGCAGATTCTCTGTCTTTTGTTCATCTTTTTTAGGCTTAGGTTTTCCTACTTACGTACATTACTCTTTTCAGTTATTTTCCTTTCTTTAACCTTTTTTCCATGGTAATCTGCCATTCTCCTGAGGGGTTGTTGACAGATGCTTGTTCACTTATCATTTCTACAGTGGCATGTTTATTGTTCTCTGCATTTTCACTTTTTATTTGGATGATCTTTTTTCTAGAGTTGGTAGGGACATGATGCCCTTGTTACTCAATTGCTTTTGCTTCCCTTATATCTCATATGCCTTCTTGAGATTCCTTTCATCTGTCTGTATGATTCTACCAGCATGCTTGTATCTCTGGTGTTGTATGTTGGGGCTGACTGCCAATTTTATGACTTATCTTCATTAGTTTATCATCTTCCCTGCTTCTTCTTTGCCTCTCTTTGTCTCCTGTCATCCTTTTCTCTCTCACAGCTTTCCATTCCTCTTCCCATCCATCGTTCGATTGCCTGTAGACTTCAGTGATGTCAGTCTTGGCAGTGACTGTACTATAGACTCAGAGTCAGTAGGGCCTGTTTCATTGTTTATGGACCTATGCCCTCTGTTTGCAGTTAGTTGTTGAGTACTTATATTTCTATCAGAGATCCTTAACCTTTGTTTTTCCTCTCCTCCTCCAGTGTTTCCTGTTCCCATTATTTTATATCCTTCAAGGGATTTTATTTCCTGCCAACATTGGTCCATGGCAATGTTGGTTCTATTGCCCACAGTTACTATTAGATGGGTTCCTTATCCTTTTCCAGGTCTTTTTTCCCATCTTTTCATGGTTCCTAGGGAACCTGTAGATAGGTGTCGAGTCTTTTCTGCCTCAATTGGTTTTTTGTCTTATCTTGCGTTCCCATTTCCCATGGGAATTTCTCACCTAAGGCCTTGGATGACCAAGATGGACATCTCAGATGCTTCTTTTTTTGTTTGGCTCTTCTCCTTCTTTGGGTGGAAGCATGTTGGTTGGTTGTTTCATCTCACACCCATTTTGTCTCTCATTCGTTTGGGTGTTTTTTGTTCATGTGTATGCAGGGCCCAGACTTCTACTCTTCTTTTGAGGGACATGGAGTGATTGGTTTCCTATGCCATAACTTGTCCTTCCCTCGCTGTGCATGAGGTTCTTTCTCCCTTTGAGGGACTTGGGATCCCTTGTCCTCAATCATTCTTCTTTCTCTTTCCTTACTTGAATACTTCTCCTGGTGACTTGATAAAACTATTACCATTGTGGGTATTCCTTTTCCTCTCATCTGTTTCCAGATGCCACCTTTATGAGATGGGGAACATATCTCAACACTCATGTGAATTTGGTTTGTTGGTACCATGACGCATCATCCCTTCAAATTCAACTCCTAGAACTTTTGGCAATACATTGAATTTTAGCTGGGAACACATTCCTTCAGGACTGGTTCAAACTTTTTTTTTCCATGCATACCCTCCTACTTGTTTTCTCCCTCATGATTTCCTTCATTCTGGACACTCTAGATGAATCTTTCTTATAACTCCTTACTGGCTGGCTCATTGATAGTTTCCTCCATTGCACTTTCTCCTGTCCTCTCCTCCTCTTTCAGTACTTCTGTCACTCTCCCTACTCCTTCAACCTCACTCCTCCCTCTTCCATCATCAGTGTCACCATTCAGACTACACATGTGGGTTTGGTCCTGTCCCTTGTGAGACTTTCCAGATCCTTTTCACGTTTAGCCTTCCTTCTTTCTTCTCCAGTTCATTCTTTTTTCCTTCCTCCTTGTTTATCCACGACAAGGGTACACTATATAGTAGGTCTATGCATCATGTTTTTCTTCCATTCCCTTCTTTCTGTCTTCCACTTTTCCCAATTTTTTTGTTGACTGATCAAATGAGGCTTATTGCTTTTGACCATGGTTGGTTACTGGGCAGCTCTATCAAATACTTTTAGGTTTTCTTATTATCATCATGTATTCTCCTCTCCTGTCTTGTTTATGCTTTTTTGTTCATTTGCCACCTTTTCATCCTCCTTGTCGTGCAGTCCTTCCTGATTTGGACCTGACTACTGATCTCCATGCCCTTACCCTTTAGTCTCTTATTCCTTGTACCATCTTTTGCTTAGGTACTACAACTTATTTTTTGCCTGTGGCTGTAGGAAATAAGATGTGTATGCCATTGTTGCTTCTTCCATTTCTCAGTATTATAATCTCTATCTGTTCGAAATTGTATTTTGCTGTTCCATCTATCTGGTCCGTTGTTCTTTGGTCTGCTCTGCGTCCTTTCACAGATACTTTTCCTATAACTCTCAAGGGATGGCTACAGCACTTTATTCATTTAGCCTGTAGGGGAGACCAGGGCTAGTTGTTACGATTTTTAGAAAAAGTCCAATATCTAGCGAAATAAC